AAGCTCGTCAGCCTGGGGGCCTCATGGGTGCTGGATGCTTCCTCAAGAAGGCATCCTGGCCCACCGGGTCCTGGGTCTCCCCCCAGCCTTGCCTTCTTGATATTGGAGGGTGAGAAAGGGAACCCAAGGCCTGGAGAAGGCCGTGAGGAGTAGAGAGGGCCTGGGCCCCTGATTTGAACAGCGGTCGAGGTTGCTGCTAGGAAGGATGTGAGAAGAAGCCCGATGAGATCTCCCTGGGTTCAGCCCTCCCAGGAGCAGGGCAGTTTCCCAAGTGGCGGAGGGAACCCAGAAGAACTTGCGCCTCGAAATCGCCGTGAGGGTGAGTGGGAAAGAAGCATGTTTCACGTGCAGGGGCCAGCACAGAGTGGCAGGCGTGAGCCTGGGCAGGGGGACATGGGGCTGTGTCACAGCGCAAAGCTGGGTACAGGTGAGGCAGGAGCAGTGGCGGGCTTGGAAAGCCAGGTTGAGAGGCCTGCACCTGACTGCGAGGCTCGGTGCAGGGGCTGTCCCACCGGAGGAGCACTGCTTGCTCTGCGGGACCAAGTGAGGACGCAGATGCTGGGGGCAGGGGCAGAGGAGGGAGGGCAGCAATCGTGGAGACCAAAGAGGGGGTGCTGTCAGTTGGAGGAAACCGTCTCTCTGGCCTCGTCTGACGTGTACCTCTTTCGCCCCCAGAGGAGAGCCCCATTTGGCTGGGGCTGCCAAGGAGAGGCACGACCCGGCGTGGTGGCTCAGCCACGTGTTTTGGACTTGAGTGATGGAGAGTGATTTGCAGGTCTGCAAGCGGCTTTGTGTCCCATCTCCTGGGTCCCCGGGAGGGGCTGTGTGCGGTGCGTGTGGCCCCTCAGGGTTTCCCTCCGCTCCTCTGACTCCATCCCCCATGGTCTCTGCAGCCTCCCAGCCGGTGTTGTTCCCTGGAGTGGGGGAAGCCAGAGCTGACAGCCAGGGATTGGGGAGAGTGGTGTTACATAAGTTCGGAGGAAAAGAGGCTTGCTTGCCATGTGAATGGAAATCAGATCCAAGCGGTTACAGAGGCCGTGCAGCCACTCCTCAGCAGCCCGGAGAGAAGCAGAGCGAGGGAGGAAGCCAGCAGAGGAAGGAAAACCCGGGTGGCGGTGGGGGGGGGGGGGGTGCTGCTCTCTGTTGGGGAGGGCGGAAGCAAGCAGGGCTCTGGTGCCGTAGGCTGCTCATCTTGCAGGGCGGCCTGTGGAAGAATCCTCTGTCCCTGTGGTGTGGCGTGCCGTGTAAATGCCCACACTGCATTAGGTTGGTCCTGGTCACCACCTGGCAGGGTCACAAGAGCTCTGATTGTCATCACTGCATCGCTGACAGGTGGCCGGTGCTAGAGAAGCAGGGGGACTGGCTCAAGGCTCCTGTTGGAGTGGGCAGCAGGGCGGGGATTTGAACACAGGTCTCTTGAGTCATGGCCGCCCTTTTGCTTGAAAATGGGGCCTAACCTGCCTTGGGCACATTTGGGAGGTGAGGGAGCTCTGGCTTGGTGGCCCAGGTACCGGGGTGAAGGGCTGGGGCATTTGGTGGCAAGTGTGAGGAGAGGCTCGAGTTGGAGGGCCTCCTGCG